TACTTGTAGTACATATATATATATAATAGCAAAGCAAGCGGACTTACAGTTTTTAACAAGAAATGAACAAATCTAAGAGAGGTCTACCCAAGCTCCACCCACAGTACAAATACACCAACATGTATCAAAAGCATTCAGGCTTGTGGTTTTCAAGAAGAAGTCGAAAAAGTAAAACATTGATACGGACGACGATGGACAATCACTCATATGATAAGCTCCGCCCTACAAAGTTAACAGCGGAGCTAAAAACTACGCGACAACAACATCGCTACTGTTTTTGTTCCGGCCTGTTGTACTGGCCTGCAACCCCTTAATCTCGCCGTCAACAAACAAACCTTTCAAGGACTCGCTGAAATCTAACTTTCCATCGTGGTCCACTGACCGTATTTTGAAGGAACTGCAGATGAGAGGTGATATTTCAGATGTCAATCTTCGTCTTTCGGAATTAAAACCACATCATGCTAAATATTTAATTGGAGCCGTGCAGTCTATTGAAAATCGCTGGGAAAAAAATATTTGGGAAAAGCATAAATCTCTTGATAACAAAAAAAAAGTCACTGAAACAGTAACACGCAAACTAGAACAATCCTTTGAAATACATCACGCAGAAACATTACACGATGACAATAAAGGTAAAAACAATAAAAACAAGTTACGAACCTATAGGAAAATTAAAACAGAATTTGCATATGAAAAATATCTCACCACAATTAAAAATGCAAATCATAGAGCTGCTATGACAAAACTCAGAATAAGTGCTCATACCCTTCAAATCGAAAGATGCAGATATAATAACATTTTTAAATTAAGAACCAAAAACATTTTCTTCGCAATTGTAATCTATACAAGGAGGAACGAGAAATCATGATCAAGAATATTTAATACAATAAAAGCAACTTGGGGACGGATGATGAATACCTTACAGATACATGTATACTAAAAAGTAAAAATGACAAAACAATCATTGAGCTAGGAAAATTCAACCACACTTGTTTCAAATTACGACAAGAAAAAATCCTGAAATGCCAAATAATTTAATTTTTTTTTCTTTTTTCAAATGTTAGTGATTGTCTTTATTTTTTTTTTTTTTTGCTATCTTTTTGTGTTACTTGTTTTTGTTTATTGTATTTTCAACTAAGATCCCACTCTGGGATACGGTTTCAATAAGGATTATTATTATTACTGCCGATGTACACCACGTGCCACTCGCATTCACGTCATTCAAGCAGTGAAAAACAAAGTACTAGGGTGGTAGTGTTCATTTAAAGTTTTTCTTTCATTGTTAAAAAAAATGTATTTAGAGTCAATAAATATTTTTAACACAAATAGTAGTTAAAGGGACACTAAATAGAGCCTAATTTGGTGTTTGTATTTATCAAGTTATGTATATTGATTATAAATTTGAAAAAAACATCTTCAGAGTTATGATGATTTAAATATAAGAAACCATAAACCTGCGAAGGACTTCCGTTTGCGCCATCTTGCCATAAAAAACGCCCTCATGAGGTATAAACAGGAAAGGTAACAAAGCATGATGACGAAATAGTATCTGATTAAATATAAACAACTTAGGAAGCCATAGTTGGATGTACCATATTACCCCGAGCACGCGCCCAGGGGCCTGAACATACAAAATCGTGAAAAATTGGGGGTGGGCGCTTACCCGAGGACCACCCCACAAAAGATTTTAAAAAGTTGTTTTTGTGATCGTATGATAAGGTCAAATAAAGGAATGTTTTCATACACTTTGTACACGTACTTATTTCTTGATTTATGCGAGGTTTCAATAAACATGAGCACTCGGTCAAGAACTGTGGGAACACTAAGACACAGGGTCGAATTTCAAGAATAAAACTTGTTTTATGTCAGCGAATAAAGTTGTATTACTCACGGAAATTGGCTACAAAGTATGGCAAGTATTGTAATCAATGCACGGTTACATTTTTAGTAACCGTGATCAGTGCAAGTCGAAACAGCCGGGAAAGACTACCACTTGTAATCCAAGATGGCAATGACCTCATTAGCATAATTTTGTTCACGCACGTATTGATACATCGCATCATAATTACTGAAGAATAGCAGACAGGGTTATGAAACAAATAAACCTTTTATTACTGATGTGAAATGTTTACAAACTATTGTGAATACAAAAACATATCCAAATGGCGATACATAAAAAACAGACTGAAAATAAACTCTGGTCAACCTCATTAACATGATTTATTCACGCACCCACACACATGACAAAATTATGATGCAACAAGTTCCCACCGTCGGCACGCCTCATTATGGTTATCGTAATGGACTTGAGGTCGGCAAAATGTTTTTTCTTCAACGACAGAAAAATAATCCACATGACCGTAATGCCATAGCTGTGATGAAGGATGGAAAGAAAGTAGCAAGTTTACGACGTGATGTCTCAAAAGTGCTAGCTTCCGTTCGCAGTCAGCTGGCACCGGTGTCGCTGGGTGTATATGATAAAGGGAAGTTGTGCAACCAAATTTGCCGAGTTTGTAGTTTTTCGCCAATAAAAAAATAACTAAGGCAAAAACTCACGGTTTTTCAGCAGTTTTGTAATAAAGACAGGAACATTTCCACTAATTCTTGTTTTTTTCGACGTTTTTTGAAAAACCTGCGATTAGACTGCGAAAGTAGAACATTCCGGAGGGGTGAAACGGAAGAGCCAAACTTAACGCGTAAAAATAGAACACGTATTTTGACCTCTATGTGGCCAACCAATGGCTGGACACGGGTACGTTTGTGGCCGTTGCCAAAAAGCCCCGCGTCCATCGCCTGGCGATGCGTTTTGAAACCAAAGCTAAGTGCTTCAAACCACTCACCAAGGTATGGATTATTGCAATATTGGATTCATCGTGAATGAAGAGAAAGCAGAAAGTGTGTGCCACATGCTGCGTGGTTCATCTCACGTCCTTAAGTTCCATTGAGTTTTTACGTAAAAACACAAACAAAACGGCACTTTTCAGGGCCACCACACACTCCCAAAAGAGAACTACGTAACAAACCCACTATTTAAATAAATCAAACGCGTTCGTTTTTGACAAATAATACTTTATTGTTGACCCCGTTCTTGGCTAAAAATCACCCTGGGCGTTTAACCGAGGATGTCCCCAACATGTAACTTTTGTGAAAACAGGGGGGTGGGCGCTTGCCCAGGGAGGGGCACGTGCCCGGGGTAATACGGTACTGGTGAATTGACTTCTAGTCTAGGTTGTTTTGACTTTTACGTTAATATTATTTACAAGCGTATCAATATGCGACCATTATGGATGTGCGATATCATTTTAATCAGAAAACAAAATGAGACAAGCAACATGCACTAACACTACTTCGTAAGTTCAAAATGTTACCCCAGTCTGTGTCAGTAAATATTGAACAGAAAATCGCCGAAAACAGAAAAAAACATCGTCACCAGTGTTAATATAAAACAATATAAATTTTAAAGATGACAACTTGAAGAAATAAATACCGACTTAAAATAATAACGAATGATGAAATAAAGTACTCATTTCACCCAGCGTTCCATTTTTACCACTTTTTAATCGACTGCTTATCGCTTAATTTCTGACCGCACGGTCTTGTCCGACCGGAAACCGCATTTTAATCGATTGACACATTGCCATGAATACACTGGATAACTGCTTGCAGACTTCCAGTGGTCATTGTTTATGTCTGGACTCTTGAAACAATAGCAAAATAAAGGGTTGGGCAACTACTCCTTTGTTTGACTTGGGAAGAACAATGCAAGCAAATAATTACAGCTGGATGTATGTTGGTGGGCAGGATGTTGAGAGTAACCATAGACCCTCTTTTTAGAGGGTCTATGGAGTAACTAGGCGGCCATAAAACTGGATGGGCCGCCCACCTAAAACCCCTTGTGGAGAACAATGGTGCAATGGATCAATCCAAAAAATTACGACATTTTCAGGGGATGCGTGAAAACCAACCAACCATAACCAACACAATACGCTTCATGTCAGCGTCTTTGATTGCATTAATTTTGTTTTTTAGTTGGCGAAATCTACCACTGGCAGCATTTGTTTTGTCATGTCTCACAACTGAAATTCCATACTAGGTGTTGGTCGAGTTTTTTTTGGGTAGAGATGTCCAGTACCAGTTTGAAATCTGATCCCTCAGTGTGATAGCACTAGAAGTTTATAACAAGCAGCCTATCGGCTGAGATAGCTCCGCTGTTAGCAATGCACATTTCAATTAAGGTAGAGATGCAGGTTGGGAGACTATATTTCTAATTGTCTCTAATTACTGTAATTACATGAGTAAAATATACTTTTTACCAATCAAGTTATATATCATTTGAAAGAGTTTTATTTAAACTTTTGAGTTTTATGGTTTACAATAATGTACTATGATACCATATTAAGTGGTGTTGATTTTGGGTTAAAATCATGCAT